GAGCTCAGGACTGCTCAGGACTCACCTACCGAAGCCTGAGCCTGGCCCAGATCCACCTCACCCACCAGTGCAGGAGCCAGGACCCGAGGAAGCCCCGGATATATCCAGCTAACAGGAGACACTGCTGGAGCTCAAGACTGCCTCCACCCAGGGGCAGAAACCGACCAAGCTCAGGCCTGCCCAGAACTGCCTCCTCCCATAAGCAGATCCCCACCTGAGCTCAGATGAGCCCAGATCAGCTTCACCAATTTGCACAAGAAGCCAGGCCCCAGTAAGCCCGGGTCCATCCTACCACTGTCAGACACCTGCCAGAACTGAGGCGGGACCAGACCTGCCTGGACGACATCCATAGGAGCTTTGACACAGGGTAGGCACAGGTCCATCCTGCCACTGGCAGACCCTACCAGAGCTCAGGAGAACCTGCACTCACAAGCAGATACCTGCCAGACTTCAGGCTCTGCCCAGGGTCACCTCATTGACCAAGGAGGGTGGCAGGGACCAGGATAGGACAGGATACATTTTGCCACAGGGAGAGCCCCACTGGAGCTCAGGACCACCACTGCCCACCAGCAGACACACACCAGAACTCAGGCCTGGCCAGATCCACCTTGCCAACCAAGGAGGGAGGCAGGGACCAGGGAAGGCTGGAGTCCATTTATCCATTAATAAATTCTTGCTGGAGCTCAGGACAGACCACCTCTGCACAGAGGCGGACACACCTGGAGTTCAGACCCGGCACAGATCCACCTTTCTGACCAAGGAGGGAGGCAGAAACCAGACTAGGCCTTGGTCTATCCCCAAACTTGCAAACCCCCTTTGGAGCTCAGCACTGCCCCCACCCACCAGCAGACTCCCTCCTGAGCTCTTGCCTGATCCACACCCACCTTGCTGACCTGCACAGCAACTCGGGCCCAAGGTAGGCCCAAGTCTATCTATCCCTATACTGGCTAAAACCTGCTGAAGCTGAGGCCTCGCCCAGATGCATCTAACTTACCTGCATGGAAGCCAGGGCCCAGGGTAAGCTGGGGTCTATCCTGCCACAGGCAGACACTGGCTAGAGCTGAGCTCCAGCCCAGACCTGCCTCACTGACATATATAGGAGTTTCGGACCCAGGGTATTCCAGGGTCCATCCCGCCACTGTCAGATCTTCCAGAGTTCAGGACTGCCTCTGCAGACACCTGCGAGCTCAGGTCCAGCCCAGAACCTCCTATGGCCAGCTGCAGACCCACACCATAGATCAGGCCTGGCCCAGATTTACCTCACTGGCCTTCATGGGTGCCAAGGCCAAGTGTAGACCAGGGCCATCTGGCCACAGGCAGAGCCCTGCTAGAGTTAATGAGCACCACCGCCTACTGGCAGTAACATGCCAGAACTGAAGCCCAGCCTAAATATGCTTCGCTGAACTGGGCCGGATTCAGGACATATGGTAGACCTGGGTCCATCACGCTACTGTGGAACTCCTGCAGAAACTCAGCCCTGGCCCAAGTCCACCTCACTACTAGCGCATGAGCCAGGGCCCAGAGTAAGCCTGGTCCATCCAGCCACTTTCAGAGTCCCGTCAGAGCTCAGGGCCGCAACCGCGCACCAGCAGATATCTGCCTGAGCTGAGGCCCAACGCAGACCCACCTTGCTGGATCCAGGTCCCAAGGTAGGTTCCAGTCCATCCCTTCACTGGCAGATGAGGGAGTCACTCTGGAAATACTCGCCCTTAAGTCCTGAGCAAGAGATACTGAACAATTATTGTGCCCCACAATAACTTGGGCTTTACCTCTGCTCGGATAATGAGAAATGGCTCCATGAGTAGTTGTTACCTGGTGGGGTTGAGTTACACTCACCAGTTCTTTTGTAATGTTACCCTTTGCCCTTTTTCAGATAGAATGTTCTAAAACACGGCGTTCCCCAATAATAGCCAGCTCCAGAACACGTGCCCCCTATGTCTAATGTGATTTCTCTTTCCCTTGTGGGAGCCTGAGGCTAGGAGCCAGGGAAGCTGTCCTGAAGCTTATACAAACATATTCTGTATCTATGTGGTATTTTGTGTCACCCCAAATCCATACAAGTGACATCAGTTCAGTTGCCTGCTCTGGACGCACAGCAGATTGGCACCTGAAGAGGGGCATTCGGTGTGAATTTGGCGGGTTGACTTTGGTTAAGCATGCTTAGAAAATTCACAGTATCATGGATTGGGCTGTGAGAGAAAACAGGTTGCAGATGGAGAGTAAGGGATGCTAATTGTAACATGGGGAATTCATAGGCTTTAGAGAGAGAACTCTACTTCATGATCCTGGAGACATTAATTAATCATGTGCAAGAACAGATCAAGAGAGGGCCCAGCTCACTCAATTCCTAAAAAATATTCAACGATGTCTGTCCATGGTTGTGTGAGGAAGAATTGCCTAATTTGCATACTTTGGAGAGTGCAGGTAGAAAACTGTTTAAAAGTTGCTTCTCCACTAAACTACCTAGAAGTCCAATAGGGAATATTCAGAAAGACTGGACTGCCTGAGAAATGTGTCTTTTCGCAGACAGAGAAGAAAACCACTGGTCCTCCGAGGAATTGTTGGAAGGGCTGCAGAATGCTATTAGGACCTTTGAACATAGCCTTGTGCCACTCTCAGATGAATTTTTCTGTCTGTAGCTTGTTTAAAGGCAGAGTCAAGTCACTCCCAGTCTGTAGCTCCTAAACCTCAGACAGAAAGCTTAAGGCAAGACCTAAGAGTATTTAAACTACTGTAAAAGGGGCAGAGAGAACTCTTTCACTAGAGTGTCAGCAAAACTCATTGATAGGGGCATATGCTAGAGAAGAAACTAGCCAAATGGAGTTTCAGGAAGGGAAATCCAAGATGGAAGGGAAGAAAACTACATGGTAAAATCCCAGAGACCAAGCTGCAGTATTCAGAGGATTCCCAGTCAGATGGAGAAAGTGAGATGGGAATTGATTTTAGTAATCTGTGGTTGGGTGGTCTTGCTTCCACCATTTGGATACGACCCTTCCCATCCAAAACAAAGGTTAGCCTGGCTCCAGCAGGCACGGCAGAAGTGGTTCAATTCCTTCTTCGCTGCCATGGCAAAGCCAGAGGTGGGGCCTGCAGTGCCCTGCCAGATAGTAGGGGCGTTCCAGTTTACACTGGAAGAGGAGTCCAGGGCTTACAGTGAGGTGTGATCAAGCCTATCACAGCCCAGCTGGTCTGGCATTACTATCCTTCTAGGATGTTTCTGCCCCAGGGACCAAGAGTTTGGGACTCTCTGATCAGCCATGAGAATAGTTTTAATTCCTGAAAGGAGCCCATGACAAATCCCTACAGGGATTCACAGTCTGCTACCACAAAATACCATAGGATGAAGCAGTTTACATACCATGGGATGAAGCAATTTAACTCCAAGAGGAATTCAGGTATTACCATGTGTTATTGGTTCAAATTATGAAGAAGTGATTAAGCTTATAGTTTAAATGAATTGTGTTATTCAGCTTTCTCCAAGGGATGTGGTAGCACAATTAATATTCTTGCCTTGTTGCTCTGCAAAAGACTGGGTGAGAACCCCAGTTCTGGGTCCCCAGACCAGATGTATTGGGGTCAATTGGTTAGACATGAGTGTACTCTGTTGGATCTTAAAATCAACCATAAAAATGTCAGAAGTGTGCTTGATATGGGAGCAGACAAGTCAGTTATGTCTACTAGATACTGGCCAAAGAAGTGGCCTTTACACATTGCACCTGCCAGCTTAGAAGGGATTGGTCCAATTTCTCAACCTGCACAGAGTGCTCAGTATCTTTAATGGGAGGATAAAGATGGTAATTCTGGGGTCTTTAAACTCTATGTCCTAGATACTTCAGAGTACATTTATGGGGTCAAGATATTCTAAGTAGCTTGGGTTTGTTATTGATAACTCCAAACTCAATTGTGTCGTCTCAGGGACTTAATCAAAAATTAATTTCTCCTAGGAAATTTGAAGGGAATTCACATGAAGGGTATTTACTTATAACCCTGTCTCCCCAGTGAAGACTAGTTAATTTACCCAGTCAAAATTTTTGGCAAGGGTACTGATTTTCTTCCTGGCCCCCAAAACAGCAGAAAAGATTAACTGGCTTACAGAGAGCCATTTTGGGGTTGTCAGTGGCCTTTAACAGGGGAGAAACTTAAAAGCCAATATGTTGGTCCAGGAACAACTTCAAGCTGGCCATATAAAACCTACTTTTAGGGGAATACACAGATTTTTTAATTAAATCTGGTAAATGGAGGTTGTTGAAAGATCTCAGGAAATTAATCATGTTATCAAGCCCATGGGAGCTTTACAATCAGGACTTTCTTCTCCTATAGCCAATCCTTTAGATTATCATCTAATGGTGATAGGATCTAATTTTTTTTTTCACTATGCCTTTACATCCAGATGATTGCAAAAAATTTGCTTTTAGTGTCCCAGAAATAAAGTTTAAAGAACCAGTTAAGAGAGATTGCTGGAAGGTTTTACTTCAGGGTATGTGTAATACCCTTCAGGGTAGTCCAACTCTGTCAAAATTTTGTTTTGACAAAACTATCAGCACAGACTATCAGGCCTCTAAGGGAAAAATTCCCTGATGCATATATTATTTATTTTATGTATGGTATACTTTTCACTCAGGCTAGTCCAGATATACTTTTAAAAGTTTCTGCTCAATTAGAAAATTCGCTTACTGCAATGGGTTTGTGCATAGCACCTGAAAAGTTACAAAAATACATATCCTTTTTGGTATCTAGGTAATATAATAGAAGGATGCACAACTCATCCTCAAAACATACAAATAAGAGTCAAAAGATTATACACCCTTAATAATTTTCAAAAATTATTAGGTGATATTAATTAGCTGAGACCATTCTTAAAACTAACTACTACAGATTTAAATCCTTTGTTTCAGATGTTACAGAGGGACCGTTTTATGACTTTTCTTCGTCAGCTCACAACAGAAGCAAGAATGGCCTTAAGGAAGGTTGAATTTATTATTTAAAGTGCTCAGCTTACCAGAGTTAACCCACAGAACCCTATATATTAATATGTCCCACTTCTCATGCTCCTACAGGAGTGATATAGCAATCATTGGAAATTATTGAATGGCTCCACTTAGCTCATTTTTCTTAAAAGTTATTGACTCCTTTTCATGATTTTGTTGTTCAGTTGCTCAGTATTAAAGGCAGAACAGGAATTTTACAGCCAGTTAGATCAGAACCTAATATTGTTATTATCCCTTATTCTACTCAACAGAATGATTGGCATTTCCAAACTTCTAATCCTTGGCAAGTAGCTTTTGCTAATTTTCCTGGTCAGATAGAAAGTCATTAGCCTTGTGATAAAATTATTCAATTTGCACTAATAACTACACTTAGTTTTCCAAATATTGTGTGTGCTCAACCAGTAGTTGGGGCACTATCAGTGTTTGCTGATGGGTCAAGTTCAGGTAAAGCAGGATTTTATAGCAATGCTCAGACAGAGGTAATAATACAAACACTGTATACTTCTGCACAAAGAGCAGAACTTCAGGCTCTCAATTGTGCTTTAAGTCATTTTACAAATGATTCAATTAATATTCATTTTGATATTTTTATATGCAGTTGGAGTTACAAAAAATGTTGGAACATCAACTATTGGATACACACCATTACAAGAGTTATGCAATTTTTTCATACTTTTCAGAAGACAGTTCAAATATGTCCACATCCATGTTGTATAGGCCATATATGAGCACACACTTCTCCCAGGGCCTTTAACATCAGGTACTGATAAGGTTGATAAGCTGGTTGCTATTTGTCAGCAAATATCTTTGTATGACTATGAACACACTTTGTATACTTTAAATCATTAAAATGCTTCTAGTTTGCATTAAAAAATTTAATGTTATTAGAGAGCAAGCTCATCAAATTGTACATCAATGCCCACAATATGTTATACACATTCCATCTTTACTATCTTGGGTAAATCTCCATGGGTTATGACCAAATCAGTTACAGCAAATGGATGTAACCCACATCCCTCAATTTGGCAGACAATATAATGTACATGTAATTGTGGATACTTATTCCAGATTTATCTTTGTCACAGCCCATATATAAGAAAATACTCAACATGCTATTTCTCATTGCCTAGCTGCTTTTGTAGTACTAGAATGTCCTTTGCATATTAAAACTGTTAATGCACCTACTTATACTACCTCTTCTTTTTTAGCAGTTTTGCCAACATTTTTGTATTGACCATAAAACAGGTCAAGGCATTGTAGAGCAAGCTCATTTATCTGTTAAGCTACAATTATAAAAAAACAGAAATAACCTTAATCATGCCTTGTTTGTTTTAAATTTTCTAAACTGTGACTCAGAAGGTTGCACTGTAGCTGACTGGCACACGTCTTCCACAGCAACAGGTCCTTCAGGACAAGTTTGGTGGAAAGATTTACAAACAGGTCAATGGAAAGCATCAGATCCAGTGATAATGTGGGACAGAAATCATTCTTGTATTATCCCAGAAGGTGCATTTCATCCCAGAGCCAAAGTTCAAATGACTGAGGATTGATCTAGGAATATCAGGCCTGACTCCCAGCAAGAAGAGGAAGCTCCAAAGGATGAGGGGAGAGAAGATGGCCCGGAGAGACCCAACGGTGTAGGTACCCTCATGGAAGGTGTTGAAGAATCTGATGCTGCAGGTTAAGCAGATGATCCAGCAGCAAGAAAGAACTAAGTCTCCAGCTATGATGCTTGTAGCAATGCTAACTCTGTTGAGCTACCAGGTAACTGGGACACAGGAAGAAACTTATTGGACATATTTCCCAGATCCACCTTTAGAACACCCAGTTGTATGGACTGGAGAATCCATCCCAGCATTTACTAATAACTTATATGTGATGGGAGGTTTTATAGATATCCATATTACTCCCATCAATGTGATTGAATTTATTCTGACTATCGTGATCATTTGTCTATGTGTTGGCCCTGTGATAAAAATGCTGGCTATCCAGAAGTTTCCTTTGAGGAAAAGACAGCTGTTGGTGGGCCTAGACCAGCTAATTGTACCTCAGGGACTTAAAGCTATATATTACAACAGTAATTAAAATGGGACTCTCATAACAAGCCAGTCATTTCAACAGAACATCTACTAATACCACACTGTCCTAACCATTATGCAGTAGAAATTGTCATATTCCCTAATAGATGGATTGTATAAATACGTTGCCAATACAGCATAAATTGTCTATTTTAAACTGGTCTTCTAGGATTGACAAAAAGCAATTATACAAGGGTGTTGCCATGACCCCTGAAGAATTTGTAACATCTTGACCTTCATTGAAGGGTGGTATCCAGAAAGATGTTTGGCACTTGAGTGCAGCCTCGGAATTTTTATGTTACTGACAAGACTTTACCTGACTTTGTAGGCAGACATTGTAATGAAGGTTCTTGTTATGGCCTGCAAGCTTGTGTTCAATCTGCTTATGTTTAAATTACTGGGTAAGTGAAAGTCAAAAGAAAAGATGATAAATATCTTGTAGCCTGTAATAAATATAATTCAACTAATTTTATCACCAGATATAATAGAGGGAAGGTAACAATAATACTTCACCAGCTCTTATTTGTCTTATTGCCAGCTACTATCTCAGAGTCATAGTATGCTGATGCTAGTTTTCAAATCTTACAACAAATACATGCCCAGACTAGATCTAAGCAAGCTCTTGGACTCATAATACTTGGAGTGGCTACCTTAGTTTCATTTATTGCTTCCATGGTCACAGCTTTGGTGGCCATATCTCAAAATATTTAGCATGCAAATTTTCTTAATAATTTGGCTCAGAAAACTTTCAAAGTTCTTCAAAATCAGATAAATATTGATGAAAGGATTGAAACTAATCTAAATGCCTTAGAAGCTACTGTCATAAATATTGGTGACAAGATTTCAGTTTTAAAGCCCAAGGAAAGGTTTAAATGTCATGTTGATTATAAATATGTGTGTGTTACTGCTCCCAAATACAATGCTTCCCAGTGGGATTGGGAGAAGGTTAAAAAACATTTATTATGTATTTGAAGAACAATAATAACAGCTTGGATCTTTTGGAGCATATCATGTTTTGTATATCATGTTTGTATATCATATTCAAGATATACAAAAAAAGTAAGATGGATTTTTTGGTTACTACCTCTTTAGCTGATCAACTACTCCGAGAGTTAAATGGAAACATGCCAATACATTCTGCATGGTATATTATTGGACTGTTCTCTTTGCTATTAATCCTCTCTTGTATTTTAATCATAGGTTGTCATGCCTTCAGAACAAGAATTTGAGAACTCAAGATAGAGAAACATCACCTACTTTTTCAAAGAAAGAAGGGGGAATATATTGGGAGCCACTCTGGAATTACACACCATTAAGTCCTGAACAAGAGATACTGAATAATTATTGTGCCCCACAATAACTTGGGCTTTACCTTCACTCAGATAATGAGGCATGGCTCCAGCAGTAGGATTTAACTTGTGGGTTTGAGTTACACTCACCTGTTCCTTTGTAATCCTATCCCTTGCCCTTTTTTGGATAGAATGTTCTAAGAAACAGCATACCCCAATAAAAGCCACCTACAGAATATGCACCCCTCCTTTCTTGTCAGACTCTCATGAATTTCTCTAGGGCCCTTGTGAGACCTGTGGCCAGGATCTGGGAAAGCCATCCTGAAGTTTATAAAAAGGTATTCCATGTCTGCGAGGTATTTTGTGTCACCCCAATTCACATGAGTGATTTTTGTCCAGTTGTCTGTGCTGGAAGGGACAGCAGGCAGATCCCCTCCAAAGCTCAGGATTGCCTCTATCCATCAGCAGATACCCACTGGAGATGAGACCTGGCTCAGACCTGTCTTGCTGACCTATGAGGGAGTCAGGACCCAGGGTAGGCCTAAGTCCATCCAACCACTCGCAGACCCCTGCTAGAATGCCGAGGCCTGGCCAAGGACTACCTCTGTCAACTGGCAGACCCCCACCAGAGCTCAGGTTTGGCTCAGAACCCACCTCATTAACCTGTGTGGGAGCTTGGCCAGGGTAGGCCAAATAAAATCTACTTCAACACCTGGAGAGTAAATAATATGCTACTGAGTGAGTAATGGGTTGCAAAGGACATCAAGGAGATTTAAAAAATTCTTGGAGGTGAATGAAAACACAGATACAATGTATCAAAATCTCTAGGTCACTATGAAGGCAGTACTAAGAGGAAAGTTCATTGCATGGAGTTCATTCCTTAAAAGTAAAAGTCAACAAATAAATGACTTAAAATTACACCTCATAGCCCTAGAAAAGAAAAACAAATCAATACTAAAAGCAATAGAAGACAGGAAATAATATAAGAACTGAAATCAATATAATTAAAACAAAAGAAACAATTTAAAAAAATGGACAAAACAAAAAGTTGTTTTTTAAAAAAATAAAATTGACAAGCTTATAGCCATGTTAATGAAGACAAGGAGAGAGAAAACTCAAATTAATAACATATGATAAAAAAGAAAATATCACAACAGGCACTACAGAAATTCAGAAGATAATTAGAAATTATTTTGAAAACTTGTATTCCAATAAAATAGAAAATATCGAAGGCATTAACAAATTTCTAGAGTCATAAGATTTACCCAAATTAAATAAGGATGATATACACAATCTAAACAGATCAATTTCAAGTAATATAATAGAAGACAGCATCATAAGCCTACCAAATAAGAAAAACCCAGAACAAGATGTATACACAGCTGAGTTCTACAAGACCTTTATCAAAGAATTAATACCAATACTCTTGAATTTATTTCAGGAAATAGAAAAATAGGGAGCACTTCCAAACTCATTCTTTGAGGCCAATATCTCCCTGATTCCAAAACCATGCAAAGACATATCAAAGAAAGAAAATTTCAGCCAAATACCTTTTATGAATATAGATGCAAAAATTCTCTATCAAATTCTGGCAAATCAAATACAAAAAACATATCAAAAAGATAGTGCACCATGATCAAATGAGGTTCATACGAGGGATCCAAGGTTTATTCAACATATGGAAATCAATAAATGTAATTCATCACAAACAATAGACTTAAAATAAAAACCATATGCTTACCTCAATAGATGCAGAAAAAGCATTTGACAAAATACAGCACCCTTCATGTTCAAAACAATAGAAAAACTAGGGATAACAGGAAAATGCTTCAACATCATAAAGGCTATATATGCTAAGCCCCAGGCCAACATCATTCTAAAAGGAGAAAAATTGAAGGCATTCCCTCTAAAAACTGGAACAAGATAGGGATGCCCTCTTTCACCACTCCTATTTAACATAGCTCTTGAAACATTGGCCAAAGCAATCAGACAGATGAAAGAAATTAAAGGGATATGAATAGTATAAAAAGAACTCAAATTAGCACTATTTGCCAACAATATGATTCTATATACCAAGAACACCCAAGAAATTCCACCAGAAAATTCTAGGAATAGTAAATAAATTCAGGAAATTAGCAGGATATAAAATCAATACCCATAAATCAAAGGCATTTCTATATTTCCGTGACAAATCTTCTAAAAGGAAAATGAGAAAAACTACCCAATTTAAAATAGCCTGAAAAAAAAACGACCTTGGGATTCAACTTAATGAAAGAGGTGAAAGATGTCTCCAATGGAAACTATAGATTGCTACAGAAAGAAATTAAAGGAGACCTTAGAATTTGGAAAGATCTACCTTGTTCTTGGATAGGCAGAATTCATATTGTCAAAATGACCATCAAAAGAACTATAGTGCTTTTGCAATATAGATTTATTGCAATTCCAATCAAAATACCTATGACATTCCTCATAGAAATAGAAAAGGAAGTCATAAAATTCATCTGGAATAGCTAAAGCAATCCTTAGCAAGAAGAGTGAAGCAGGTGGCATAACTATACCAGACCTTAAACTATAGTAAATAGCAATAGTAACAAAAACAGCATGGAATTGGCACCAAAATAGGCTTGTTAACCAATGGTACAGAATAGAGGACATAGTGAATATCCTATATAATTACAGTTATATTAGACAAAGGTGCCAAAAACATACATTGGAGAAAAGATAGCCTCTTCAACAAATGGTTCTGGGAAAACTGGAAATCCATATGCAACAAAATGAAATTAAACCCCTATCTCTCACCATGCACAAAAAAAAGTTGATCAAGGACCTACAAATTAAACTAGAGACACTACATCTATTAGAAGAAAAAGTAGGCTCAAATCTCCATCAAGTTGGATAAGACCCCCAACTTCCTTAATAAGACTCCTATACTGCAAGAGTTAAAATCAAGAAATAATAAATGGGATGGATTCAAACTGAAAAGCTTCTTCTCAGCAAAACAAACAATCAGTGAGGTGAATAGAGAGCCTATAATTTGGGAACAAATTTTTTACCACACACATATCAGATAGAGCACGAATCTCTAGGATATATAAAGGACTCAAAAATCTTAACACCCAAAAAACAAATAACCCAATCAATAAATAAGCCAATGAATTGAAAAGACACTTATTAGAACAACATATACAATTCACAAATATATGAAAAAATGTTCAACACCTCTAGAAATTAAAGAAATGCAAATCAAAACTGCCTTAATATTTCATTTCATTCTAGTCAGAATAGCAGCTATTAAGAAAACAAACAATTGGGCTGGAGATGTGGCTCAAGTGGTAGTGCCCTTGCCTAGCATGCATGAGGCCCGGGTTTGATCCTCAGCACCACATACAAACAAAGATGTTGTGTCTGCTGAAAACTAAAAAAAGAAAAATTAAAAAATTCTCTCTCTCTCTCTTAAAAAAAAATACAAACAAAAATAAAAAAGCACACTCATACATTGCTGGTGGGACTGCAAATTGGTGCAGCCAATATGGAAAGCAGTATGGATAATCTTTGGAAAACTGTGAATGGAACCACCATTTGACGCACTTACCCTATTTTCAGTCTATATCCAAAGGATTTAAAAACAGTATACTACAAGGACACAGCCACATCAATGTTTATAAGCAGTACAAGTCATAAAAACTAAACTGGAATCAAACTAGATGCCCTTCAGTAGATGAATGGATAAAGAAAATGTGGTATATATACACAATGGAATATTATTCAGCATCAAAAGAGAATAAAATCATGGCGTTTGCAGGTAAATGGATAGAGTTGGAGAATATAGTAGTAAGTAAAGTTAGCCAATACCCCAAAACCAAATGCTGAATGCTTTCTCTGATATAAGAATGCAGATTCATAATGGGGTTTTGTTGCTCCTTGCAACAAGGGTACGTGGGAGACAGGCAGGACCAGCCTGTAGTCTCCGAGGGGCTGAGCGAGAGGGTAAGGGTCGATGGCCCAGTCCCCACCCCAAGATTGGAAAGAAACCACACTGAGCTGGGAGTTGTGTCAGCCATGAAGGCGCAACAGATCTCAGCTTTATTGTGTCAGGAACAAGGTTAGATAGTGATAGAAGGAGGGAGTAAGAAGAGAAAGTAGTGAGAACCAATAGAGGGCAGTACTATCACTAGGGGCCTAGGCAGATTTCAGGTTAAACCATTAGATGGGGCTAAGGTCAAAAGCCCACAGGTGCCAATCCAGCCAGGTCACATATACGGAAATGCTCTAGAAGAGCCCATGAGGCCACCTCAGCCAACACCCAATAATGGCCGGGGTCCCAAAGGAGGAAAAATGTTCCAACAGGGTTTGGGAGGGGGACATGGGAGGATTATATGAACTTTAGATAGGGCAAAGGGGTGGAGGAAAAGCAGGATTATGGGCGTAGGAAAGATGGTGGAATGAGATGGATATCATTACCCTAAGTACATGTATAAAGACATGAATGGAGTGACTCTACTTTGTGTATAACCAGAGACCTGAAAAATTATGCTCTATATGTGTAATATGAATTGTAATACATTCTGCTCTCATATAAAACAAATTAAAATTAAAAAAAAATAAAATAAAAGATTCTGTAATACTACAGACTTTTTTGGTTCAGACAATCCTAGGTTCAAATGCAACTCCCCAGAGGTAGAAGAAGATACCAGTGCACCCAACTAGCCTTAAGGGACCAGCTGCCTGGAGAAGGAAGAATTACTGTGCAAACGATGAGTCCCCAATCCGGTCATCTTCCTCACAGCTTCTTACTTCTTATTTGCCTTGAAGAACCCTTCTCCACAATAAATTCCTTTGGTGTGTTTTACTATAAATAAAGCATTCCTGGGCTTTTTCCCTTTGTTAGGATCAGACCCATCAGGACTTTTCCACCAGTAAAGCCTTTGTTTTTTTTTTTTTTTAAATATTTTCTCCTGCATCTTTTGTTTTTAACTTATTTCTCCATACTACTTTTTAGATTTCCATTCCCAGCCAGCCCACACCTCTGAGGGTTGCTTATTTCCTCTCCTTTCCCTTGGATATTTTCCCTGCCATGCTCCTCTGTTTTTTCTCCCACTTCTCTGAGATCTTTCTTAAATAAATTTGTTTCAGACAAATTATATAATAATATTATTTGTTTCAAAGATTTTAAAATAGTTGATTTTAAAAAGGAGGGGCCTCAGGGTGAATGCTGGAGCCCACCATCCATTCTCTTCACTGTTTCTCC